CTCCAGGGTTCACGCTATTCTCCTGCCTCAGCCTCCTGAGTAGCTGGGATTACAGGTATGGGCCACCATGCCTGGCTAATTTTGTATTTTTAGTAGAGATGGGGTTTCTCCATGTTGGTCAGGCTGGTGTTGAACTCCCGACCTCAGGCAGTCCTCCTGCCTTGGCCTCCCAAAGTGCTGGGACTACAGTCATGAGCCACCGCGTCTGACCATCCATTAATATTTCTTCTGTTGAGAAATGTCTGTTCAGATCTTTTGGCCACTTTTAAAATTAGAGTATTTGTTTTGCTGTTAAGTTGTCTGAGTTCCTTATATATTCTGGTTATTAATCCTTTATCAGATGGATAGTTTGCAAAATTTTTTCCCAGTTTTTGGCTTATCTCTTCACTTTGGTGTTTGTTGCCTTTGCTGTGCAGTAGCGTTTTAGCTTGATATAATCCCATTTTGCTTTTGTTGCATGTGCTTTTGAGGTCTTACCCAAAAAATTTTTGCCCAGACCAATGGCCCAAAGCATTTCTCCAATATATTCTTGTGGTAGTTTCATCGTTTCGGGTTTTAAAGTTAAGTCTTTATTTTGATTTAATTTTTTGCACATGATGAAAGATAGGGATCTACTTTCTTTCTTCTGCATATAAATATCCAGTTTTCCCAGCACCATGTCCTTTCTCCAGTGTATGTTTTGGTTACCTTTAGTGAAAATTAGTTGGCTGTAAATGAGTGGATTCATTTCTGGGCTCTCTATTATGTTCCATTGGCTTATGTAACTGTTTTATGCCAGTACTAAACTGTTTTGGTTGCCATATCTTTGTAGTGTATTTTGAAGTCAGGTAATGTGATTGCCTCCAGCTTCTTTGTTTTTGCTCAGGATTTTTTTGGCTATTTGGTACCATATAATTTTATGACTGTGTTTTCTATACCAGTGAAGACTCTCATTGGTATTTTGATAGGGATTTCATTGAATCTAGACATTGCTTGAGGTAGTATAGACAGTTTAACAATGCTGAATCATTCAATTCATGAACATAGATGGAATTACTTTCTATTTTTTTGTGTGTCTTCTTCAGTTTCTCTCATTGGTGTTTTATAATTTTTCACCGTAGAAATCTTTTACTTTAGTTACTTTTATTCCTAGATATAATTTAATTGTAAATGGGATCACGCCCGTGATTTGTTTGTTTGTTTTTGTTTTTGTTTTTTTGAGACAGAGTCTCGCTCTGTCGCCCAGACAGGAGTGCAATGGCATGATCTTGGCTCACTGTGAACTCTGCCTCCCAGGTTGAAGTGATTCTTCTGTCTCAGCCTCCTGAGTAGCTGGCATTACAGCCATGTGCCACCACGCCCAGCTAATTTTTTTATATTTCTAGTAGAGATGGGGTTTCACCATGTTGGCCAGGCTGGTCTTGAACTCCTGACCTCAAATGATCCACCTGCTGCGGCCTCCCAGAGTGCTGGGATTACAGGCGTGAGTCACTGTGCCCAGCCCTCTTGATTTCTTTTTCAGATTTCTATTAGTATATAGAAAGTTACTGATTTTTATATGTTGACTTTGTATCTTGAAACTTTTACTGAGTTCAAAAAAACCAATTCTAACAGTATTTTTGGTGGAGTTTTCAGGTTTTTTTAAAATCTAGGATCATGTCATCTGTGAACAAGGATAACTTGACTATTTCTTTTCCAATTTGGATGCACTTTTTTTCTTTCTCTTGCCTAGTTGTTCTGGCTAGAACTTCTAGTACTCTATTGAATAAGTAGTGAAAGCAGACATTCTTGTCTTATTTAGGTCTTAGAGGAAAAGCTTTCAATTTTTTTTCCCATTTTGTATAATGTCACCTGTGGGTTTGTCATATTTGGCCTTTATTGTTTTGAGGTATGTTCCTTTTATATCCAGTCTTTTAATAGTTTTTATCATAAAGCGATTTTGAATTTTATCAAATGCTTTCTTGACATCTATTGAAATGATTTTTATACTTATTCTTGATTCCATTTGTGTTATTTATCACATTGATTGATTTGTATACATTGAACTATCCTTGCATTCCTGGGATAAATCCCACTTTATTGTGGTGAATGATATTTTTAATATGTTGTTGAAGTCAGTTTGCTAGTATTTTGTTGAGGATTTTTGCCTTTATGTTCATCAGAGATATTGGCCTGTACTTTTCTTTTTTTATTGTATTATTTTCTGGTTTTGGTGTCAGGGTTATGCTGCTGGCCTCATAGAATGAGTTTGGAGTTGCTTTTTTCTCTTCAGTGTCTTTTTGGAATATTGACTAGTATTGATATTAGTTCTTTAAATGTTTGATAGATTTCAGCAGTGTAGCCCTCAGGTCCCATGCTTGTTTTTGATGGGAGATTTTTTATTACTGCTTCAATCTCATTACTTGGTTTTTTGTTTTGTTTTGTTTTGTTTTGACAGAGTCTCACTCTATTGCCCAGACTGGAGTGTAGTGGTGCAATCTCGGCTCACTGCAACCTCCTTCTCCCAGGTTCAAGTGACTCTTGTGCTTCAGTCTCCCAGGTAGCTGGGATTACAGGTGTGTGCCACCACACCTGGCTAATTTTTGTATTTTTAGTAGAGACAGGGTTTCACCATGTTGACCAGCCTGGTCTTGAATGCCTGACATCAGGTGATCTGCCTGCCTCAGCCTCCCAAAGTGCTGGGATTACAGGTGTGAGCCACCATGCCCAGCCTCATTATTTGTAATTGGTCTGTTCAGGTTTTCTATTTTTTTTTCTTGATTCAACCTTAGTAGGTTGGTTGTATCCA